CGCTCCGTTATAGCATAATATTATGACGACGCCACCGCAACGTTTTTGTTGTCTGTATACCCGTTCATACTGTACGTAAATAGACGGGAGGCTAATAGCTAATCCCTCTATACCCTAAAAAAAAAACACCAACGTTTTCAGCAGACAGTCCCGAGTCGTTCACTCAGGACGGTTATTATAACCATTATGATGACTTGTAAATCAATTTTCCAAGCCGACGTATAACGCAATATACTCACCGTTAATTTGCGTCGAATTTCCGAGCGTTTTTTCGGGACTAAACAAAAATGTAATTCGTGTAAATCGAAAAATTAGTGATGCCTGTTCTCAAAATGTTTGAGATGATTTTGACGATTTTAGTAAAAATATGAACTTGAAATGCTTATAACGGCTCTACGATTAATTTTCACTGAATCGTTGTTGCGTAAATTTTACCGCGATAGTTTATCAGGGTGTCCGGTAGTTTTACAAAGGAAAATCTAAAAGAATCCAAAGCCGGCCTTTCGATGTACCAACTTGACAAAATTGTCTACATTTGGAGTCGGCGATTGGAGGAAGTCCTCTAGCTGATCGAAAACTCGTTTACAAACGGAAAAAATGCATTTCTCACTTAACTGATAACCTAAAAGACAAATATAGTAATGCTTTCAAGTACAACATAGATGTACCTGTCTATATCACATATTGTGAACCAGAGGCGTTGATACTTACCCACCCGTTCAAAACATAGGGGTACAAACATATCATTTCGCCCACTCTCGATAAAATATAGATAAAACTTTATGAATAATAAAAACAAATATTTATTTTTCATTAATATTATTTATTAAACCCTCACGAATGGAAATATTTATTACTAAAATTTCAAATAAATAATATTTTATAACGTGACTGATAAGTGACTCAAACAAATCAATCAAAATTGATTATAATTTTATGACAATACTTTCACAAACTATAAGTGTAATAATTTAATGTGTAATAATCTATCGCAGCATTGGCAACACTGCAATATCTACAGAAATTTAATTAGACAAAGTTTGTTTTTACCTTCGTGTTGTTTTTTTACTCAAGGATGTGCTTAAGTCTAAGCTCAAAATGAACGGCAATTCCGGTTCACATTTTCACAAAGAAAAAAAGTTTATCATCGCTATCCACAAATCGTATAAACATACTATGCACGATTTTATTTGTTTGTAAATTATGAGTACAATTATTATAAGTTTCAATGAACAAATAAAAACAAAAAGGAAACAAATTATTTCAATAAATCACGAAAATAAATTACTTGACCGTTGCCAGAAAACATTCAAATATTTATTGGGTTATTCGACCTGTAGTTTTGAGAGAAATTTGGAACATCAAACCAATCGATATTATATTGTATACTTTAAAATTTATCTGGCTTAGTATAAATGAGTTGCCTATCTCATTATTCAATCATTTTAAAGAACAGTACCTAGTGTATAAACTAATTTCTGCGTGTTTTCAAAGATTTCAAATTTCAAATTCTTAAAATATTTTCATAACTAGAGGGAGGAGGTGGGCGGTTCTAAAAAAAATAGATGCATACATTTTCCATTTCGAGCACTGATGTAATATAGGAAAGGTGAGCCCTTCTCCTATAATATACGCATATCACATGGGGAAATACGGGTCTCAGAAAATACAGATGGTGTAACTATGATTATCATAGTTTATTATTATTATCATTATCTATGGTTTTACCCCCCCACCCTTACACCCATATGAAGTATAGTTGCTGAGCCGCAGCTGCGGTGCGCACGAATTAAACATATCAATTACATTATACAATAAAATATATCGCCACGGTTGTAATTGATTTCAGAAAATCCTTTGCCGCGGTAGGTATACGGGTACTGGTATAATATAGCTAAACGTTTTTGAGCCTTTAAGCGGTACAGTTCTTGCTTAAATATTCAGATCGTTTATTTATTTATTTATTTTTTTTTTCGGAGCTATCGCACTCATGACAGTGTGTGTATATACTGACACATATATAAACACACACGTCAGCCATTAATCAACAGTAATATTCGTAACCGTATCGTCCGTCAGTGCGCGACGAAGATGGCTCAAGGGCAGCCCGAAACCCGCTCTCGGAGATCGCCTTCGCGGCGACGTCTCGCCGACCGCCGGAACATTGTGTACACAAACCGTAGAAGTATTATGGTGTAACAGTGTAATACCTGTGCATAATAATACGATGCGGATGAAACGCGATAAATGATACCTAATGCTTAATGTAATATAAAATAAACACAGACGTCAGCCCAGAGCGATTGCGTGTACAAGGGGGTTTAATTGAGAGCGAGCCGAAACACACACGTCCAGTCCGGAGAGGGTCGTCGCCGGTGTCCCGTAAATTGGATATTCGGGTGAGTGAAACGTTAACTGTCGGCTCGGTCCCGCGATATCGCTGACAAATGAACCGCCGATACTAAATATATGAGGTACACGATATTAATGGTATAATATTATATACGACCGCGGGATTAATTGAAAAAAAAAAAAACAACCGAACGGACGTCGGAGCGACAGAGCGACCGCGTACGACAAGATTCAGTTCGGTTCGCGGTTCGGTCGCGTTCAATTAATATTATTGAAAGCGCCCGCTGCGGTGCTCGGCAGGTAAAATCCGTACGAGGACGATAGCAACATTACAGTGAATTTCAGTGACAATTGTATGCGAGCGGAACTTATAATGAGGGAAAAAAAAATCGGACCAAAGAAAGACAGATCGAGTCGAATTCCCTGTACAACGAGTAATAATGAATTGCGACGAGTGCATGAGAAATAGGACGGAAAAACAAATTATAAAAAAACCCATATTATGGCGAGGCTAGTGTACAATATTCAAATTTCAAGGATCGGTACAATAAGCCGGGCCGAGACGTGACGTACCAAAATACACAAATCTCGAAAATACTAAACGCCTCGGTTATAATGAATATCATTTAAATTTGTATCTATGAGTATTTTTAAATTGTATACTCTTACCTATGATAGTCCGGTTTATATTGGAAAATATTGATATTATAAGAGTATCCGAAAAGCTGTTTTAGGATAATTGGACGGATGCAACCGCTGTTATAGGTAATTTAATATTTATCTGTAAGCAACGATTAACGATTGCTAAAGAAAAAACGATTCTGAGCGGAGTTCGGTTGATAATGTTGCTATATCAAAAAATATACATATCGTATTATGGTAAAATAATTACATATGCATTATATATTTTTTTTTAAATTATGTTTCTTTAATATTTTACCTGTTTTCCCGTTTTTTCCCGTTTTTCCCGGTTTTCCCATGTTTTTTCTATTAATTATGAAAACAGCTGGGAAAATCAAAAAATGACCAAAAGCACCTCCCCAGTCAGATTTCCTTTCAGAAAAAAGTGCCATTATTGTAAATTGGAGCAAGGTTTATGGTAGAAAAGTTGTTCACAGATTAAAAACTATAAGCTTCTTTGCTCCACTCAGAATTAAAAATTTCATTCAAAAAAATCACTCGTCTCCGGGGCTTTGAGTTGGAAATACCCGGAGAACGAGTCCAGTCTGATAAATTAATTGTATTATATTTTGAAAGATTCGTCGTTGTTTGTTTTATTATAATTTGTGTGCGTTTATGTTTTACACGATTTACATGAGAGGTTACCTACCTAGCGTACTGTAGTGCTCCGCGGACAAGTTAATTACCGAAGGTTTTGGGGTTACGTTTAGTGTCTACTGCCGTACGCGTACACGGAAAGCACCGTAAGAAAAATACGACACTCGTTCTATTCTTTATACACAATCTCGCGTGTATTCGTTATATTCTTTCCGATTTTATTATTAGGTGTTATGTCATATTATGGTGCGCTTCTCCAAAACATAACTGTGACAAGAAATTGGCTACCGAGCTTCCTTCTCGCCGCCTATCAACTCGACATAATAATTCATTTTAGAAAAAAAATCAGGTAAAATCTGAAAAAAAAAAAACGCGTGACACTTAATCGAAAATTGAACGGAAAAGTTTGATATAATTCGTGTATTTTTCCCCGGGGGTTTTTATTTCTCGTCAGCTGACCAGCTCGCGTGCCTGAAACTGCGGTTTTCGTTTCCACACGTGCTATATTTCGAGTGTCGTGCGTGATGTGTGATATTTCGTGAATGCTCGTCTAAAAAAGTTACAGTAACAACGAGTACCGTACAATATTATTTGAGTATAGTTTAAGTAGCAGTAGTGTTCTGTGTGCAATAGCAGTCGTAGGAATTAGGTCTTCAAGCGTTTGCTCGCGTGCTAAACGCACACACGAAATGTCCGCGTGATGGAAATAATAATGATCGACGATCTTTCGGTACCTTGAAGCCCGAACACAAATCGATGGATTCCGGATACGTACACGATAATAATTACAACAAACGGTCACGTGACGTTACCGTGTTACCCGTCATACGATCGCAATACATTGTATTCTGTATTCTTACGGGAAATCACGAGTCGGCCGAAAGGTTGTAAGATAGGTAAAAAAAAAACAAACCATTGTGTACTTGGATACCCATTGATCCCGACTAACTCCATCTAATTTCCTGTAGAGCTACCACTCTAAGTTTATATCTCTCTATTTCAGACATTACACCATGTGCAGCTCCTATCTTAAATAAAGTGCGAATGTACCATGTTCGGAAGAGTAAGTATTTTTCCAAGTTCCAGTAGTTTTTCCATTATCTCCACTTATCCTAGGCAAATTTATAGGTTCCTGAACATTGAGTTTTTTATAAGACAGGGTTGTTGGCCCTGTGTTCAACCTCCAACCTGGAAGACCAGAGCTCGGGGCCCCGGGTACGCTAAACCCGTAGTACTAATTGCTTAGTACCCCCATGGGAGGTTTTTTTTATATACATTGACTCAAAACAATTTTTAAAAATAAATAACTAAAATAATATACTATAATATCTACTTATCGTTTATCTTATTTATCTTACTTATCTATACGTCCGTATTACACAAAGTGAGGCGTATGTTAGAGCGAAGCAATACTTGAATTCGTATTTGACGTTTAGGTTTTTAACCTTAAGTTTAGAATACCTTGTATCCCCGTAGTGTCTGTCCGTAGTTACTAGAATACAGTTAGTGGTTTGATTTGCAAGTTATATTCGTAACATTATTATCAGTGGCTTATTTAGGAATTGTTCATGGGCTGAAGGATCTAAATAATTTGCCAGGCCCCATAGACCTCCCCATAAATACGTCACTGATTATTATTAACAATTTAAATATAAATTCGTAATATTATTAATCTGTGAGTATTTATGAATATTAGTTATAAATTCATATTAGCTAATACTAAACTAAATATTAAGACAAATTGATACCAAAATATAATTACTTCAACGATTTTAAAAATGTCCTGTCAAATATTATATTCAAACTGAGGTATTTTATTAATTTGGATTTTACGAAAAACACTATAGGTTACTAAATTCATTCAAAATTGTATATGCAATTATAATAATTTATTGTTAATACATTTAGAAACCGGAAATGTTGCACTCTCGCTGAGTGGGATTTTCTAAATTGTAATTTATTATTTTTTGAATCTGTGAATAAGTTTTTGACCAGAAGACTTGCTCCAATCATCAATACCAGGGATGGTTTCCAGTAAAAATTATTGTCATGTTGGTGCATTGAGTAGGGGTCAGTTTTTCGATTTTCTTTGTACTTTTCCTAACGATTGGGAAAATCCAGGAAATATTCGGAAAAAAAGGCATTATTTATTTGGTTGTTTTTAATAATAATAACAATAATAATAATAATTCAGTTTAAAATATTCGTACAGACCTGAAATTTCCATCGAATACTGACCTATATTGTACTTAGACCTTCCTGGGTGCGATGCAATTTTCAGTACATTCTGACGAATTTCGAGTTGTTCAGAGCTATTTGACATTTTCGAATTTTTTTAACTCCTATTTTGGATGAATATTTTTTTTTTTTTTTTTTTGGCTTTTCGAGATAGTCAGTTTTTAATAAAGTTAGTTTATTTAAACTTTATAGATGTATTCAGTAACATATTGTAATATTTTTTTTTGCATACATTCAAATTCGAAGTAATTGATACAAAGTTATATTGATATTAAAGTACATTTTTTTTTTTTTTTATTATTTATTATCTATTACAATATTAGTTTTGTATATTTTAATTACATAATTTAATGCGATTAATACATAATAAAGGTATTGAACATATAATAATTTGTTTTAAAATACAATGATTACTTGGTTATATACCATATAAGAATATAATAAAAAAGTTATTAAATGCTAGTTTTTTAATGTAATAAATCGATACATTGTAATATAGATAACTAACTATATAATTGATAGTAATATTTTATTTTTTTAAATCCATGTGCATATACATTTTGAAACAATGTTACACACAATATATGCATATACATTTTTTTTAGTCAGTGTTACAATCTAATAGTTATTCTTGTAATTGTAATTTCCCAACAAGTCGAAGTTATTAATCCTGACCATAAAAATGCATTTTTCTTTAAGTACTGTATCTATAATAGAATAATTCCTCCATTAATCGTCTTATTCGCATACAGGGTAAACTTTTTTTCCTCGCGTCTTATAGTCTTATATATAAAATTATAATCTAATCATTTTCCGACAGACATCGATAATAATATTGATATTACGTGAAATCGTTCTCTACCATTATTTATTAATTGCGTTCACATTTGTGACTGAGTATTTTTCAAAAGATACGAATAAACTAAACCTATATCGTAATCGATCTAGTGTGTATATACAATGTATTCATATTGCACGTGGTATATTAGGTTATGTGCACAAGCCGCACGTATCATTTTATTTAACTATTGTACCAATAATGCACGCGTAGAGGACCTGAGTAATTTGTATGTATAGATTACAACATAACAATAAAAATCGAAATACCTACTAATCAATGTATATTGACGGTTCGCGTGGGCGCAGTAGGTAAAACTGTAACGTGCGGTGCGAAGCCTGATTAATCAATAATAGACTGAACAGGCCGTAGCCTAAAGCGCCCATCGGCCAAAGTTTAATATGTATTACTTAAAAGATGATTTTTTTTTTGTTCATTAATAAATTTCTATCAAAAAATGTGTAAATATAGGCGTATTCCTGTCTTTTAAGATGTGTAAAAATATACAGAGAGTTTCGTAGTGATGAAAACGAAATGAAAGGACGAAAAAAAGAAAATACCACTGGTGATCAGCATATAGATATAATTAAATAATTTACTTTATCATAATATATTATTAGAGCTAGGAAGCAATTTGTGTCTGTTATATTTCAGTGCCTATTTGGTTTATTTCATTTTTAATGAAAATTATAATACCATCAATTCAAAAAACATTATTATTTGAGACTACTATTTAGTAATTTTTAATGGTAAGAAGAGCATTATTAAGTTTATCATTTAAGTGTTATTTCTTTTAATTAATAGATTTATAAGTAAAGAATAAAAATAAAAAGTGAGACATTTGTAGTGAAAATTAAAAACGAAACTTAGCAACTTACATTTTTTCTAGGTCGCTTATGACTCTGATGTGCATAAATTTTGCATTTTCGCATATTATTGAAAGAAATTCTGCGTTATATAACCATAAAAATTTATATTTATTCTCTTTGGCGGTTACGCATGTCTTAGCCAAAAGTATTCTCTTGTCCTTTGTGAGGTGTACATTATAAACATTTTGTTTTAAAAAAGGGCTAACTTTTTTATTTAGTTTCTTATTTCTTTAGTTTCTAGTTTTGTACGTATTATGTTCAAGATTGCTACATTGCGTTCAGTACCCTGATGATTAACCATTAAAAAAATTGTTTAACAGATAAAAAGATATAAAATAAACATTGTCAAGTGAGCCCGATAAAAAATATTCACATCAAAAGAATAAGTAAACAATATATTTAAATTATACTAATTAAGGGTTTATTGCACCGAAGGACAATCAGTGATTAAAATTAATGTGGTGAGTACTTTCAGAACATAGACGTAGCAGAGTAACGAAGATTTCGGAATATAGCCACTAGGTTGATATAACATCATTACGATGAAATATATTAAAGGCTTTCTATACTTCGATATATTCGACAAAATTAAAAAATAAAACTCACAACAATATAGGAATAAAATATCTTACACAGATGCATCCTAACATAAGGAAAAAAAACAGAAATAATAAAAAATTTAAAGCACACTATTGGCCAAGATATACTAGGAAGATGATATCTTAAAAAGATATTGTAGTGGCTTTGCGAAGGAAGACCAATTTTAAGATTTGGTCAATCATTATTTATTTGTACGCACTTTCTAATTTAATAACCAATCTATCATCACCTTTTCTCATCCCAAATTCGGAAAAGAGTGGCTAAATTGTATTTATACGTCGTTTTTTCGCTATAAACCTTTTCAAAAGTTTAAAATGTAGTATCAGCTATATGACCGACCACAACAAAAAAATATTGAAAGAGACGATGATCACTTCTTATATTGTTGACTGGAGTCTACAGACACAAAATAACACAACAGATATATTGACGCCTGGGGAGATTGATGTATGATTAAAATAAAAAAATTTTAACATATCCTGTATAATATATACCGATATATACCTGTATACCGATACATTGGGCAAAATAAAAATTGAAACTCACAACCATAAAGGAATACAATATTTTTTGCAGATGCATCCTAACATCAGGAAAATAAATTAGAAAAAATAAAAATACAATATTTTTTGCAGATGCATCCTAACATCAGGAAAATAAATTAGAAAAAATAAAAACTTTATATTTTTTGCAGATGCATCCTAACATCAGGAAAATAAATTAGAAAAAATAAAAACTTTATGGCATACAGTTCGCCCAGATATACTAGGAAGTTGAACTAAAACAAAATATGTTGATACCTTGGATAGATATTGTAGTGGCTTCGCGAAGGAAGAAAAATTTTTAGATTTGGTCAATCATTATTTATTTGTACGCACTTTCTAATCTAATAACCAATCTATCGTCACGTTTTCTCATCCCAAGTTCGGAAAAAAATGGCTAAATTGTATTTATACGTCGTTTTCTCGCGATAAACCTTTTGCAAAATTTTAAAATGTAGTATCAGCTATATGACCGACCACAAAAAAATTAGTGAAAGAGACGAGGATCACTTCATATACTGTTGACTTGAGTCCACAGATACAAAATTACAGAACAGATACATTGACGACTGGCGAGATTGAAGTATGATTAAAATAAAAAATTTTAACATATCCTGTATAATATAGTCTTAAACGATCTTCAACGTCGCGGGTGAAAAAAAAACATGTCCCAAATTAACGTACTAGGTCTGATTGAAACCACCTAATTGCTGCCAGCTGCCAGAATATCCGAAGATATCAAGTGAATCAATGAAGCTATTCAGCTCTTTTAAACATATTTTACNCACCATTTCTGATCCCAAGTTCGGAAAAAAATGGCTAAATTGTATTTATACGTCGTTTTCTCGCGATAAACCTTTTGCAAAATTTTAAAATGTAGTGTCAGCTATATGACCGACCACAAAAAAATTAGGGAAAGAGACGAGGATCACTTCATATACTGTTGACTTGAGTCCACAGACACAAAATTACAGAACAGATACATTGTCGACTGGCGAGATTGAAGTATGATTAAAAGAAAAAAATTTTAACATATCCTATATAATATAGTCTTAAACGATCTTCAACGTCGCGGGTGAAAAAAAAACATGTCCCAAATCGGCGTACTAGGTCTGATTGAAACCACCCAATTGCTGCCAGCTGCCAGAATATCCGAAGATATCAAGTGAATCAATGAAGCTATTCAGCTCTTTTAAACATATTTTACCGGACCCTCGGAACATGACAATTGGCATCGTTAACGATGGAAAACATTAAGACCTCTCTGTATACCGATACATTGGGCAAAATAAAAATTGAAACTCGCAACCTTAAAGGAATACAATATTTTACGCAGATGAATCCTAACATCAGGAAAATAAATTAGAAAAAATAAAAACTTTATAGCATACAGTTCGCCCAGATATACTAGGAAGTCGAACTAAAACAAAATATGTTGATACCTTGGATAGATATTGTAGTGGCTTCGCGAAGGAAGAACAAATTTTAGATTTGGTCAATTATTATTTATTTGTACGCACTTTCTAATCTTATAACCAATCTATCGTCACCATTTCTGATCCCAAGTTCGGAAAAAAATGGCTAAATTGTATTTATACGTCGTTTTCTCGCGATAAACCTTTTGCAAAATTTTAAAATGTAGTATCAGCTATATGACCGACCACAAAAAAATTAGTGANTCATTATTTATTTGTACGCACTTTCTAATCTAATAACCAATCTATCGTCACGTTTTCTCATCCCAAGTTCGGAAAAGAGTGGCTAAATTGTATTTATACGTCGTTTTCTCGCGATAAACCTTTTGCAAAATTTTAAAATGTAGTGTCAGCTATATGACCGACCACAAAAAAATTAGGGAAAGAGACGAGGATCACTTCATATACTGTTGACTTGAGTCTACAGACACAAAATAACACAACAGATATATTGACGCCTGGCGAGATTGATGTATGATTAAAAGAAAAAAATTTTAACATATCCTGTATAATATAGTCTTAAACGATCTTCACCGTCGCGGGTGAAAAAAAAACATGTCCCAAATCGGCGTACTGTTGACTTGAGGCCACAGACACAAAATTACAGAACAGATACATTGACGACTGGCGAGATTGAAGTATGATTAAAATAAAACAATTTTAACAAATCCTATATAATAATGTCTTACACGATCATCACCGTCGCCGGCATTATCGTTGTTTTTACTACCGATTTGGATACGATTACCCCCATTATTAATATTATGTTATCTTATATTAAAATATATAATAGTTATGATTGATTGACGGTGGCGTTACCATAATTAAATCGGTGCATTCGTGGACGATCGCGCGATGCTTAATGTACTTGAATGATAAACCTAATTTATCTAATTGTTTCCTTACCAATTACGGCACAAAACAAACGTAACATATTAGTTATTTTTCGATTCGATTAAACCAAATCGGGAAATAGGTATGCACGTTAATTCGGATAACATCCGTACAGAATTATAAATCCTAAAACGGACCCGGAAAATATAAAAAAATAAAAAAACAGAATCTTTTTAACGCCTTCGGTCGATGGTATTGGGTCAGTGAAAGCTATGGCGCCCGTGTCTATTTGAGTGTAGGTTGTTTGTTGAAAATACAAATTTGATCGAGGAAATATTAATAGATAAGTTCGAAATTCCATTCGCTACGTGTACTTGTCGATTATGACGAGCCTGTCTTTTTAGCGTATTATTATTATTATATTGATGTTCCGTCAGTTTTGCAGTGCCGTGGAGAGAAACCACGGGCCCCAGGGACAAATATTAATCCCTCCTAATATGAAATATTAAACTTACCACTAACACCCACCGTCGTCCTTTAAAACGTGTATAATAAAAAGAACGTTTAAGGTTCAGTTATATGGTGATCCCAAACACATTCTTTATTGTAACTAACTTATTATAATACGGTACAAAGTAATTGCAATATCATTTACATTGAATTGTTAATATAATATAGGTTCCTATAAAAAAAAATATATAATCATTTCTTTTTTTTTTCAAATTAAATATTATGAAATAAAAAACTACGAATCTTTTTTATATATTAATGTGAAAATTAGTTAAATTATATCGTAGTTGGACTTAGGGAATTTAATTTCATTTGTATTTTATTTAACACATTTTTTACCCTTTATAATTTTTCCCTGAGACGCTTTTTTTAATTTTTGTTTCTTCCATTAATTGTATGTTACTTATTATCTTAGTTAAATTTTCCAACTATCATTTTTTTCTTTGTCTATACTTGTATTACTTTTTTTTTTTTTTTTATTTATATCCTCAATATTCTCACATATTCTCAATTCTCTATTGTCTTTAAATTCGCTGGGTTTTTCTCCGTTTCGCTCACCTTTCCATTATCACTGCTATTTGTATTATGGTCAGTTATCATTTTTTAATAATCAATAACTTGCGGTATTTACAGTAAGTATAGTCCTCAAGTTAAAAAAAATCATAATATTCTCTGTGATTAATTTTTTTAACAATTCAACAACAATAGAAAAAAAAAAGTATAGGCAATTCTTCAATAATAATCGTCAATAGTTAATTTTTTTCCCATATTTCCCGTATTTAATTTCAAAATAACTAAAAAACAAATGTCCACCAACAGTACGGACAATGTGCTTTTGTTTACTATAGTTTACTATGGTTATACGATACCACTGTGTTCTGCCGGTTGACATCCTGCAGACTTTTTGGAAGATGCCGTTGTATTATTTCGGTGTCTGTCCTCGGTCCTTAAGTCCTCAGAATTGCGAAGTTGTAGTGCATCAGCCAAATTTGTCCAAGACCCTTTGACAGATTACCTCGGCGACGTTGATTCCAGATTCCTAAAATAATACAAAACATGTTCGTAAAATTTCGAAAAAATGTCCGAGTTTTCTTTTTTCCGCTTACGGGTTCCGATTGTCTCCGAATTCTACGTCGACCGCGCCGATTTCTTGGCGGGCCACCGTCATACGGCCAAGTCCGGGGTAACATTTATAGCCGAGAAATGACAGTTGATTTTTACAATAACGTTAATTTGTTTTCACAATTGAATCTCGTACAATACCTGTACGAATTATACGGCATAAATGGGCTTCCAGTTTCTAGCTCGTTACTCGTCTGGCGCAAGTAACGCGACGACCGACTTGTGCACGTCGGAAGACTGGTATTCCGAATGCTCGCTCTATTTAAAGAGCGGTATTTAAATACGGATACGATAATTCGTAATCATATTGTTAATTAAAAAATACAATGTATAAAATTCAACGTGAAAGAAAATGACCTCTTACGACCCGCAAGTAATAGACCGAATTGAGATTACGATTGTGTACCGTAATAATATTCATCCGCGGTCAGATAAATATTGTAATTTGGCCTTTGATTCCGTTCTCACGCATACACATAACACGTGTAATTATTTTGGGTACCGAGTGTGTATAATATTATCGATTACGATTCTATAAAGTTTAATAATATTTATAGAAAAACACCGGTGCCCCGTTATACATTGCTGGACTGGGGTAAGTGAACTGGGGTCTGAATTAGTGCTGCTAATGAGTATCAATCCGGATTGAGGAATTGGATCCGAAAATCCGGGTTAAATGGATTGAATCCAGATTATGTCATTGTAATTCGGATTCCGGATTGGTCAAAGTGTTGCCCGGCATTAGTCCGAGTAGTATAATCATTCGAATCGGCCGAACACTGAATCGAACGTTAATTCGCTAACGGCCGTAAACATGATATATCAATTTTAGCTCGTCAGGTTTTCAAAATTAAACAATACAAATCTAATAATATCACTTTTTATAATGATGTCACACTTTAAACAAATATTTAATTGGTTGCAATTCAAAAAACTATATAGCGCAAGGGCCCGCGGGTTGCTTGACTAAGGAGTCCGGGGTAGGGTTTAGAGCAGCTGCCGCCCGAGGCCCTTTTAAAATATAATATGTCGTCCACTTCATAAAACAATTTCAGCGTTCGTTATACACTTGGAGATTTGACGAAATAAAAATATAAGAAAAATTACACTGGAAAAATATATTATTCAATAATAACCTAAGAACACACATTTTAGATATTTAACTCGGGTTATAATCTAATCAATAATATTGTTGGACTTCGGTTAAGACTCTCCTGCTGCCCGGGTCACCGACATATTTTTATGATCCGCGTTTCTTTACGGTGATAAGGTGGGTCGAGACCTTTCGTGCGCACAACTAATTGGATGTTCTTGGAACAGTTCAAATCATAAAAAAATAACAGTGGATACGAACACAAGGGTGCTGTGGGTGGCGGGGACATGTCGGAAGTACGGTAATTTTTTTTTTTTACATCGATAAAAGGTATGGACTTTAGAATACCAGTGCTGATTATTGTAGCCGGTCTCGTATACTGTCTAATTAAAATATAGACGCACGTGTGTCTTTTGTGCTATAGATGAAATATGTACAAACGCATGATTATTATATTACAAACTGTCTAATATTATGTTCCCGGCCATTAATTTAGGACCGAACTAGCGGACCCATAACACATCAAAGTATTTGAGTAAGGCGTTTTCATTTGCTAGCTAAACGAACAAATTGTACTGAATTACCAAAAAAAAAAAAAAAAAGGAGGTGATACTGTTAATGGGCGTGCTGCTGTTTTAGAACGGAAGTTGGAAAAAAGGATACATAAAGTAATTCGATTTAAATCTGTACACCATTTCTAACGAAAATAGATTCTGAGCAGTTTATTAGAGTGGCCATATAGTATCTTCCTTGTCAACCAGAAAATCGAAAGAAAAAAACCAATTTTCCCATTTATTTTGAAAAATTCAAGGAAAATCAAAAAAGTTACTTCCTCAATGCGCCGATTAGATAAAAAAAAAAAAAAAAATAATCATTATAAGAAAATTTCTGTAAAGTTTATGATTAGAGCGAGACATCTGGGAAAAAATATGTTTGTACAGACACAAAAAATGAAAATGCACGTCACAGAAAAAACCAATATATTTCTCGCGTCACTCGGAATACAGAGAAAATAATAATAACCGAATCGATTTAACGGTGTCTTTAAGATCATTATATAATAATACCATCGATGATTGCGTGGTGATTAATTTTTATTCCGGTCCTATCATCTATATGTTTCTTACGGCTTCATTATTGAACAGTTTTCCGCGGGTTGTGTCGACTCGTGTATGAACATGATGCTAAGGGCCGTTCTCACCCACGTAAAAATAGGCGTTTACGTTCAATGGCGAGAACGGGCCTAAGTTGCTTTCACCGGTCTGAAAATATCAAACTAATATATTGAAAACCAATGAAAACCAATATCCGAAACGTTAAAAGACGTTTTGTTCGGTGTATCGAATAATATTTTTACAGCGCGCGTTTAATCCGGATAAAACTGTCAGTTATGTTTTTGGCCAACGTTGTGACCGTGACGCGGCCGATTCCCATCCCGTCTCCGTCCAAACGAAACTAATGTGTTTAGCGTGTAGGTAGGTTAATTATAATATGCGGAATATTGTTTGAAAGAAAACCGTTTTTGTATTATTGTAATAATATACTCGTGTGTTAATAAAATATATTATAAGATCCCGACGACGACACCGGAATTCTATTAAACAAAATGTTACTTTTGACGTTTGCCCGTGATTTAAATCGCCCCGGAGACATCCCGTCGTCGCGCGTCAACCCTCGAGCAGAGCCATTTATCCCCCCCCACTCTCTAAAGCTTCGTTCATTTTTAATGATATATTAATATCTACTCCGGCGGAAAAATAAATTATTTCGCTGAATTTGAATTTTTTTTTTTTTTATTATAAGTGAGTATAATTTATTATATAAACTCTACACTTCTACTCCGGCGGAAAAATAAATTATTTCGCTGAATTTGAATTTTTTTTTTTTTTTTTTTTTTATATTTATAGAACGATTTTGCGATCAATAACGCCTTTACACGTTGATGGACAATTCGTTTTATTATTTTTCTACAAAACCATCCAAAAAATGACAATTTCTATAGCAGTAATGCCCCAACTCATCAAAATATGTGAAGCACATTTATCAAAATATTTAAAAAAAAACTGCTATAACAATAATAACTAAAAATTGTTTTTTTATTAATCATAATTATATTTTTTTTACATATTATTGATTGAATATAATTAAAATGAATCTTTATTACTAAAACGTAGACAACTCATAACGATTGAAAATAAAAATCAAATGTAATAGATAGGTAGATAGATACATATGTATCTTTGCAGGTAAAAATAATTTGTTAAAAGAAATGTATCTCTTGTATTTTTATTAATAGGAAAGTATTTATTTATAGGATAAGTATCGTTCAATTAATTTTTCTTCTCGCGATGACATATTAAACACGCTAAAATATGATGAGGTACTCGTATAACGACTGAACGAAATCGCCAAACGTACTGCTTTATTCATATGCCGTTTATCGGTTAAAAATTCGTGTACCTAAACATTTTAAGTAATTATGTTTTTTTTTTTTTTAATACAATTTCGATTAAATAACTTTACGCGTCCTACACCTTCCCAACTAACCGCTTACAACAGTGATGCACCCGTCAACCGTATCAGCAATTTATTTCTATTTCATCTGTACATAGGTCAAGGTGATCTAAAAATCAACAAAAATAATTAGATTATCAAACCGAAAATATCAATAACTCTTTGAGTGTTAAATTCGAGGAAAGAAAATACCCAGCCTATTTGTTACTCCCGGTGATTTCTAGCTGCGGTCATAAGTACTGCGTACTTAACATCTCAGAATGAATAATTTAGCAGGGGCTCTCACTCAACTGCTTCACCGCTGTACGTTTAACACTATTGCTCAATTATTTTTTGCCAAAACATTGATCGAGGATCGTCTGGTTCACATTACGTGTTATATTCCGTTTACAAATGGTGCCATTATTAAAACACCATAACATCATATTTTATGTACAGCCGAATTAAATGTTTTTCTTTTACAACACACCCTGCAACGCTCCACGTTGTTTACTAATGTACGATAAAAGCAAAAATCTATATCCATTGATAACCCGTAATACTTGTAATTATTCACGCAACATATTGTACGAATTTGTTTCGACGTTCGCCTACTAAAGATAATATCCGCAATCGAGTCCAGACCAGCAATTACGATATAATTTTATCCATATTCAATACTGCAGATAAGTAGTAGCATTCATACGATATTATAATTTAAAATAATTTTTTTTTTTTTTAACAGCCCAGAGGCTGATTGGCAGCATTCCAGTCTTCACGTTTCACTGCTTTCCGCTTTAGTTCATATAGTATGTTTCACACCCAAGATCCTTGACTAATTGGCTTATGTACTCGAGAGGTGGTCGTTCTCAGCTATTCTTCCCTTCTATGGATCCTTCTATTATTCTAGTTAGTAGGTTGTTATGTCGCATTGTATGTACAATAAATTTTTCTTCTCCTGCTTTACGAGAAACTTCCTCATTTGTTATATGATCTACCCAACCTGTTTTAAGAATTCTCCTATAGCACCATACTTCTAATGCAAGTATGTTTTTTGCCTCAACTTTTCTTATTGTCTACGCCTCACTGCCATAAAGTGTCACGCTCCAAACGTAAGTCTTTAGTAAGTTTTTCTTTACCTTTAAAATAATATGTTTATGAAATAATTATGTTTTTCAAATAACCTAATTTCAATTTTTGCAATTACTACAAACTAGATAGTGGTCGGAGTCAGCGTGTGCACCTTATCTATTATAGCTGTTGACACTTTTTTATGCATTACTCATGTTTATCCTGTAGGTATCATTTTACACGTGGTAGATATGGTTATTCGTTATTTCATTGGACGCTACCCAAAATTTATTATGTGTAAATCTAAAGCATAAAACCTTTGGCGGGTGAAAACCCACGTCGGGTGTAAATAAAAGTATAGGGATAAACGGCATAATCCACGTCAGGTAGGACACATTTTAGAGTAGAATAGTCGATAATAATATTGTCTATCGTGATCTGAGGAAGGCCATCAATTCGTCGGCACGGAATTCGTACCGATACTTACTAAACTCAAATTTTAATAGTCTGCGGTTTTTTTTTTTTATCTTCTTCGTGTTTACGTTTCTTATCATACGAAGAGTGTACTTGCCGATTTATTACCGCCGGCTGCTGTGGCTATAATTTCCTTACCATTTTTCGGACAGATTACAAAACAACCACCGTACTGCAACGCTAATAATAATTTACTCGGAAAAATAACGGTGTTCCTATATATTCACGTCTGCCCGTTGACAGTAATAAAAACACAATTTGGATACTACGATTCCTTCGCAGCCAGTACACCAATTATTTTTTATGTAACACTTTATATACAAAGAGGTGTAATTATAGAAAATCCAATTAATATTTACACCTATTTCGGTTATGTTATTAAACGATAAAACGCATAATTAACTAAATATATATATAGATACCGAATTGTCACAATAATATTAGATTACATTTAGAATATTAGAATACAATTTTTAAAATCAACGTTATACCTAATATCATTTCGTTAATTCCATTATTGTTTAAACTTATCGTATTTAACTATATTGGAACAATAAATCTATGTTTTATCGTTATTCATGTTTAATATTACAAATGTATGGTACCTAATTACAGTGAAAAATTGAAATTTATGAACGTTGCAGTTTTTTTTTTACAAATAATGATGGTCACTGCTTGGTTTTTCTGGACAAAAGTCGAAATATAACGTTTTGCCCAAGTATCACGAACACTTCACGTTTTGCTCGGGCATTTCTGAGATTTGATCGATTTCGTCTTTTGCTCGTAACATATACATTATTTGTACGTATCGCAGGTCTACACACCTCTCACCGGAAGCTTGAAGCTAACAGTGTTTTAATCGGCAACGATAGTGAAGACACGTTTTTTAAGACCGCTATGGAGCGTGACATTTTACAAACTGGAAACATGTTAAAGGCTGCCGGCGTTGTGGACATTGAAATACTCAAAGACCGCTGGAAAAAAGCCAACGAGAATTCGGCAGACAATGAATTCATGAACGGAAAGGTGGAAGTAATCAAGCTGAAAGAGATGATGGCGTTAGACGAGACCGAAAAACCGACGATCTGAATAATAGATGGTCCGACTGGAACAGGAATACGTGGTGTTATAAATTGGTCGGTGGCTCCGTAACTTGTGGACTGATTTTATTGACCAGTTATTTAATGTTAAAGAAATAACAACAGGAACAATACTGCAACATTAAATTTATCAAACTTGTCATTCGTTTATTGAACCGACTCCGTTAATTGTTGAATATTGAAACTTCTTTCATTATTGATCTGCGTTCATTTTTTATTCACCCTGTCAGTATTTCAATCATTGTAAACCCATCTGTTTTTCGCGTCATTAGTCAATTTACTAAAATTCTCTTTCATTCATGCCTTGATTCACTTTAATATTTTAACGTGAATTCCTGTTACAGGTGAAACTTATTAATTGGTCTTTGTTATCGTTGCACTGTACACATTTCATTTGCTAATAGTTGATTAAACTATTAGCACTATATACACGCTCATCGGCACCCGGAGGGGCAAGACTGGGCATTTGCCCCCCCCCTGGACTTCAAATTTCAAATATTATTTTATTTCAAGTACTTTTTGGCTTTTGATTTTATTATGTGACAGCCTCCCCCCTGTAATTCCCCCCCCCCGTTTAAATGAATTAATAAAATTTGACTGGTCTTAGTAAAAAAGTGGATAAGCAACAAAAAAAAAGAACAAAAATGTCGTTACTATGATTAATTTTAGCAATACCCTTCTCCTGATAAATTTCCAGCTGGCGACCATGGACACGCTGTAAAATACTACAGCGCTGAATAACATGATAATAACCGGCTTTTAAAAAATATAATGAATAATATGGAATGATGCATATAATCATAACAGAACTAATAACGATAATAATAGTTTTTTTGTCTGTGATAGCCAAATTAACGTCCGTGTCACCGAGTAAATCAACTAATAACATTCAATTTCCGTTCCAAAAATACCAAAAACCCTGTGCCGGCTATCGTTGTAACGGGTGAAATTTCCAAAAAACGAAACCGTTCGAAAAACGACCCTTCAAACCATGTATAACCGAACTTCGCTCCGAATTATTTTTCGTTACTTACAGAAAGAAATGTAAAAACTTTATGCATCCTACCTTCTCGACTTCTCATGGCGTACAATAATACATAACCAGTGTGACTCAATAGGTGACTAAATTCACCTGCTACTGTTTAAGATTAACCCTCCCCCCCAAGGTAAAAATGTCGAGGTAAAATTCGCCTGTAACACCTTTTTCTTGAATGTGTTGGCACCGATTTCGACTTTGTGTGTCAAACACTTAAACCTAATTTAGCCAAATACCAATAGTATGTTTACTTCTTCAATTATTGTACATAAAAATACGATTTAGACCGAAAATTAAAAAAAAAACAAAAAAAAACCACCAAATAATAATTTGAGCCCCTTTTCCCGGGAATCAAAGACATAGTATTACAAGTCCTTATATTATTATGTACGCATATAAAATACGATTGAACCGAAATATTAGTATTGTGATTCGAACAGGCGCGTTTAGACGCGACGAAATTGCGTGCCGAAAACGATTTACAGTATAATATTATTATTTTCGCCGGAATTTAATATTTGACTATGTTTTTATTAAAATATATTAAACGCGAGGGTCGAAACGGAAAAATGCAAGGAATGCAACGTAAATATCTGCGTTCCCGGAAAACTACTTTTTACCTTGGTCTTCTTTTATTTTTTATTTACATAGGGAACCTATAGGAGCGTTTCCATTTATAAAGCTACACGTGTATATCTACGAGCATTTTCCACCTGTAAACCTACTCCAATTCATAATATATGTATATATGTATTTGCTCGCGTTGTAATATGTCTATATATACCTACGCGATAAGTATACACTCAAACAAATAATCTGCTTGTGTAAAACGCGCCGGCTTTAGATTTTATTTTTATTTCTCGGTAATATTAAATTTGAAAAAAAAAAAAAAAAAAGAGCTGATACCGGGGACGGGTGTGCCGTAAGTGGGAAGTTAGAAAGGCAGGATGCATAGAGTTTTTAAATTTATTTCTGTAAGTAACGAAAAACCATCGGTAACGAAAAACTATTCGGAGCGAAGTTCGGTTGTTTATGGTTTGAAAGGGCGTTTATCGAACGATTTTCAGTTTTTGGAAATTTCGCCCCTTAATGATAGCCGACACAGGGTTTTCGGTATTTTCGGAATCTAAATTGAATGTTATTTGTTGGTTTATAGGTCACCTCGGTGACACGGACGTTACTTTGGTTATCGCCGGCAAAAAACCTATTATTGTTATTATTATTAGTTCTATTATGATTATGTGCACTATTCCGTATTGTTCGTTATATTTTTTAAAAATGGGGTATCGCCGGGCAACACGTAAAAAAACCATTCCAAAATTAAATATGTTTCCGTTCGATACGATACGGGCAGGGCCGTCGTGCGGGGCACGTTTTCTCGACAACCAACGGTTTTGAACTAACGAATTGTTAGAGAACGTTATGAAAATACTGTTCACTGATTGGCTCTAATCCCAACTAGATAACAATTTCATTATCAGTTGGTAAAAAGTGTTTTGTGTTAATAATTGAATAAATTCAATATTCATATTAGTTTATTATACCTATTAGATTATTTGTATTTATTTTTTTTTCAGGATACTAAGACTTGAATTTTTAATTCATATTTGTATTATTCTTTTTATTTAGTTACCTATACGCCCGATAACTATTTTAATTTTTAAAAACTGCTCAGTAATAGTAAATTTTATTTTCTATTGATGTGAATAACAATTAATTCTATTATAATTTCCTTTTCTTTTTTTTAAGTTACAAAGTTACAACAGATAATGAAAACAAAGTATTGTGATTTATACTTACATGATAGATTGTGATTTATTTACGATCAATATCCTGGAAATAATAATTTGATACTAAATTTAATATGTACCTAACCTGATAAATGTGATATTTGATCTAATATGAACGATATTTTAATAAAACAAAACACTTGAATCATAATATAATATGACATAAATATCATAAATTATATGGCTGTTAATGCAATGTTTATCTTGTTGGGACTAGAGCCAATCGGAGAACGAGATTTCCATAGGGTGTTCTCTAACATGTACGCTTTGCTTATATGCTTCCCGGAAACGTAATATAATTGCAGTACCTATATTTTTTTTATACCGCTAATTTGTCTACACAGAAACGTTTGATCCGACAAAAAAAAAATGGCCCCTGGCAACGCGAGGACGGGACGACTGTATTATTATATTATAGTTACCTACCTATAGTGAAATATATTTACATAAAAAAACTACAACGGTCGCAGAGGAGCGGCGTTTGTCTAGCGATATTTTTATAATATACGACACGAAACACGTTTGTCAGTCGTGTCGGCCGAACCTGAAATTATATATTTTTCATTATGACGTGCTCGTTTTAGCGCTATAACGAACGGCCGTGTTATCGGTGCCGGTATTTCGATTTGCGCCCCGCGAGAGAATCGTCGACATTCGGAATTAAATTTCGGCCGTACGAACCGACGCTTCGTTTTTATAATAATAATTTTTGTAATCGGTCGAAAGGTTTGACACCATAGGGGAGAGTGCCCGAATATTGGATAGTTTTTGTTAACTGTTAATTTCAGGTGAATAAATTAACATTTTTGCAGTATTTTTAATGTTTATTCATCAATATGTGTACGCGTACTTACCATTACTTAGGCGTTTTTTAGTTTTATGACGTGCATTTATCTTTTATTCAAAAAAAAAAAAAAAAAAAATGTAAAAACTTTGTAAATTCAGCATTTCATATTACGTTCCTAATGAGTGAGATAGTAGGTGACCCTAATACTGGATCAAACTTCACATGTTATTCATTATCAATATAGTACTAACAATATCATAATTACAACTGAATAACAAATCATATTCAGTATTATTAAAAAAACCATTAAATACATATTGAAGACGAATTTCAGATTTAAAAATGTATTTATATTATTGTTAGGTATATTATTGATATTGTGTATCCATAATTAATGAAGAACGCAAAACGTTTCGTTTCCTACAGAATCTAATACTGCACGCGTGTACAAAATATAATGTTAAAATAGTTTTGATAAATTTGTAATGTACGAAATTATAAACGGAAGGTATAGTTGACTATTGTAAGAGTCGCGTAAAAGGGATTGTGGGAGCATACTTCCAATGGGTATTTGATATGTCCACAATTTTATCCATCCGTTTCTTAAGAAGTAATAAAGGTGTCCGGTATTAGGCACCTATCCAACATCCGGGCACTCTCCCCTAATTATTACGACGTTCCGATTTACAAGGCGTTCGTACGTACGATTTCCGTTGGTCTCGCGTACGATATTACGTATAAATTGGTTTTGTCGTTGTTACTGTCCGTCTAGTATAATATTGTTGAAAAAATGTACTTCGGACGAATAATAAAAGCGCTGGTTAAGCGTTCGTAATTAAGCGTGTTTGGATCGTTTTCGACGATACAATGGCCGAGCGCATCGTCGTACGCATTATCATATTATTATTATGACGTATAATACGCGAGAATATTAATTATCATTAAAGTAATATCGATCTAAAAAATATTACCGCGATTGAACGGCAGATAGACGAAATAATTCTGCGATTTATCAAACAGGGCCGGGCTGTCGGTCGAACCGCGAACCCTATCATCCGGTGATATTTTAATAACACGACTAATAAAAATATCGTTCCGGCGTTACGGTTTTTTGCGTAATGCGTGTAATCGATCAATCGTGGGCCGGAGCAGAGCGAAACGAGTTCCGATAGAAATCTATAGCGGCTAAGCTGTTCTGGATACGCACCTAATGATAACAAACAATATAATTGGTATTACATTATATACAATCGAAATAGCGCGAGACGCTCGTTATCTCGAAAAATGTTGATTTTTTTTTTCAAGAATTTCTATTTATTTTTTTTCTACGAAAATTCAACAAACAGCTCTGAAATTTTACGCGACGTTTATTTTTC